CTGCAGTTCTTTGTTGCTGTCAGACTAGCTAAACGTCTCTTCCATCAGGGTGTCAAAGTTCTGCATCATCCTGACAATACGATGATGCAGGCTCCGCACCATAAGTGCTGAGTGAAAGTCTGGCTAGTTGGCTGGTTTAGGGAAAGTCTGTTCTTCTGGTTCTGGTTTATGACAATGGTTGAGAGGCAAAGCAGCTTCTACCTGGTAGAGTCCAAACGGCGGGTGGTTCAGTCTGGACAGGCGGTGCCGATCTGCAGGACAAACAGACACGTTTCAATAAACCAGAGATAAAACGAGGAGATTCAATCTACAAAGGGGGATGTCAACTATTTCACATCTTCTGATTCTTTGCTTTGAAGCAAATCCAGAACATGTGTTTATTTTCTGTTCTTTGTTTCTGAATCAGAAACTAAAACCTCAGTTTATGGTATAGCTGCTCATGCTCATGTAATGCAAGCCATTAAAATAGTTGGAATTCCCCTTTAAATGATTCTAAGTGCAGCCATGTTTGCACAGCAGACTGCAGAAAGCGCCTCTCACACAGCCAGTCCTCCAGACGAGGCGTCTCTGGTCTATGAGCGGGAAAAGCAGCAAAGCTGAGTTAGTCTGGGCTGGAGTCATTCCTCTTCCTCAAATCCTCCTTTAATCTGTCATTTTCCTCTTTCTGCTCCATATTGAAAGAAACCGAGTGTTTATATCAAAGATTCATTTTAAAATATATTTCCATGTGAACACTCAAGTTGTGTTTCAGCCTAATGTCCAAATATTTACTGAAGTCACTTCAGACACAAACAGACACTTCAGGCTTTGCCAGGTTTTCTCCAGGTTCCTTCAACATGTGTTTACTGGACTTCAGATGAAGTCAAAAGTAGAAATGTTCACTGGAGCAGCATCTGTGTGAAAACAGCCTCAGAGACTGCTGACATCTCTGATGCTTAGAGAGATCCAAAGTGGGAACCACCAGGAATCCAGAGCTTGTCCCAGACCTGGCAGACTGGCGTCTTCCTCCAGGTGATCTCAGACCCGTTTCTTCAGGCCTTTAGATAAACTCCTGGTCATTCCAGGCAGAAGCTTGTAGATTCAGTGGTTTAGTTTGAAGCTTGATTTGGGTCTTTCTCGGCTAGCCTGACCTTCCTGTTCAGAATGACTCCAGCCCTGCTCTGGTTTAGGCCTCCTGCTGGTGGAGCCTACCTGCATGGAGGAGAGCCTGAGGAGACGTGCGCACTGCAGCCGGTGAGGAGGCAACACGGATCAACACGGGTCAACACAAACACAACACAATCAGCTTCACAGTGATTCTCATCAAACCACCCGTCTCTTCTCAGATCCACCAGAACCGGGTCAGAAAGTTTACTGACCTGTTCAAGGCAGCAGCCAGGGCAACTCTCTGAAATAAAGCATCACATCATTAGCACTGCGGCATATTTAATGGTACAGAACATCCAGAAGGTCAAAGGTGAGATGACTTACACTCCTGATGAGACTCTGATGCTCCTCTGATTGGCTGAAGAAGCTGCCGATGTCCTTGATGCTGACCGATCCGTCAATGCAGCGGTTGACCCAGGCCTGGTACTCGTCCCGGTCCGGGAGTCGGTCCCAGAAGATCTTGAAGGCCTCCCACACGGTCTCCTGGCACACTGAAGCACAACGTTCCCGTAACTACCTTGGTAACCAGCAACGGCGCAGCCTGCTGGTACTGGACGATAACAGCATGTTTCTGAGGTCTCAAAGGTTAAAGAAACTCTAATCTGAGTCTTTCTGGACTCGTAATCCATTGATTCTGAGACAAACAACGTGGTGACCCTTTACCCAACTGGCCAGACTGATCTGGGCTCAAACCAGCAAACTAACAGCTAAAATTAGACGTTAACAATCAGATCTGGAGAAAAGGTTGGCCAACATGAGCTGAGCTGCTCATGTTGGTCAACATAGAGGAAGAAACCTGGAGGCTGCGGTTGAACTCCTGACATCTCAGAGACATTATCTGTCCACCGTTTATAACCAGAGTCTACTGCAGGATCATCATGACCAAATAATCTGATCTGGTGCCTCCATCCAGCTGGTTCTGGACCTTATATCAGCCATACTGGATTAAAAGCTGCAGTTCTCTCTCTGTACTGTCAAACAAACCAAACTAATTGAAAAACCTGCCACTGGTTCATCGTCTTCACACCTGGTTCTCCTTCAGAACCCTGCCAGTTGGTTACACCCTCATTGAAGACTTTTCCACCAGATCAGGATGAAGACGGTTTTGGTTGAGTTGTTTCTTCAAGGCCAAATGAAGGACTGAGACAACCTGGTGTTAGCCAGAGCTGTGAGACCCACGGCTTTCTGGGATCGGACCGTGTTGAATCCCTTCACTCCAACTGTCAAATGTCTCTCATAACCAAAAGTTAACCAGCTCTTTAATAGGGTTATGTGAAGCATCTGCTCAGAGCGACCTCCGACCTCTGACCTCAGGCTCCCTGTTTAAGCCCGTAAGCTGCAGCTGAAAGAGAAACAGACGGTACCTCTGAGGTGGAAGAAGTTGAGGTGGTTGGAGACGGCCTGGTCGAACGTCTCCTGGGAGCAGAGCTTCACTCCGCTGGGAAACAGCAAGCTCCTCTTCCTTCGGATCAGAACCGAGTGCTCTCTGACGGAGAGCGGGTCAGAATTCGCCAGGTCCCGGCTGGGATCTGGATGCAACAGGAAAACAGGAAACATTGACCCGACCTCCAGAATAAAACTGCAGGAAGACGTTCTGACCAGGACGGTTCCTCTGCTTCGGATCAACCAGAACCGAAGAAGTTACTTCTCTTTGTGACAATAAATAAAACCTTTTCTGTTGATTAAAACCCAGAATGTATCTCAAAGTTGGACCAGCACAGTGCAAAATGTAAAAGGTCCAATAAAAGCAGTAACTGTTTGGTTCTGAAGACCATGAACTGGAAGAAAAACACCAGAACCTTTCATTCATAACATTCAGATTCTGCAGGGAAATTCAACAAGAGTCCTGAAAAGCTGAAGTTTCCTCCCAGAACCTCCAGAACCTCCACTCACCCGTCTCGGTGCACAGCAGCCCAGACAGCAGCACGGCTCCCAGCGTCCACAGAACCACGCTCCTCCGGCCCATTTTCTCCTCCAATCGGGTCGCCGCTGCTCCTCACCTCCACCTGCTCATACCTCCTGTGGATCTCATGGCAGAACAATCAGAACCAGGACGGGTCGGGCGCGTCGTGCAGGACGTGCCGACAGTGGCAGCTTCTTGCTGTCAGGTGAGCAGATGGGACTTTGCTGCTGCTGCGGGAGATTTCTTCCTCTCCACTTTAATCCTATTTGTTAAGCTGCTGAAGTAGATGACTGTCAGAGGCAGCAGGCCCGACGGGTCGGAACCGCCCAGAGGGAGTCCCATCAGTTCCAGAACACTGAAGATGTTTCAGCTTTCTTTTCTGAATGAAGAAAACTGGAACTTTACTCAGGCAGAAACTGAAGGTTGAGATGCAGAAACTGAAGGTTGAGATGCAGAAACTGATGGTTGAGATGCAGAAACTGAAGGTTGAGATGCAGAAACTGAAGGTTGAGATGCAGAAACTGAAGGTTGAGATGCAGAAACTGATGGTTGAGATGCAGAAACTGATGGTTGAGATGCAGAAACTGATGGTTGAGATGCAGAAACCGAAGGTTGAGATGCAGAAACCGAAGGTTGAGATGCAGAAACTGATGGTTGAGATGCAGAAACTGATGGTTGAGATGCAGAAACTGAAGGTTGAGATGCAGAAACTGAAGGTTGAGATGCAGAAACTGAAGGTTGAGATGCAGAAACTGAAGGTTGAGATGCAGAAAACGATTCTGATGACATGAAAAGTTCTGTAAAAACTTGGTGATTCTATAAATTCATCAGTTTTTAACCTTTAACCCCAAAACACCAGAAATCAGACATTAACGTGGATAAAAGTAATGCCAAGCAGGTCAGAGGTCACACCAATTCCTGTTGATGATCAAGTCTGAAACAAAGTGGCGAGTTTTCTATAATCGGACCCGTCCAGACTGTAATCCCCCAGAACCGGCCCAACCAGACATCTTTTATTGGATAATGGGATTAAGAGGAAGGAGAGGAGATGAGGAAACAGCAACACAAAGACTGGAGAGATTACATCACAACGGATCGGATCAACCGGAACAAAGGAGAACCAAAACCGGCCCAGAACTCCACAGAACTTTCTCCCTTCAGACAGAAAGGTCCGGTTCAGTACAGCAGGTCACCTGATCCCCAGAACAACGATTAACCACCATGGACAAGGTTCTGGACTGGTCCGAAATACCACCAGGACCGGGCCAGAATGCCAAAACCGAACAGAACTCAAAGGCAGGACTTCAGAACCAGAAAAACAAGGTGGATTACAGTCCAAATAGGCAAAAGACCTCTCCTGTTCTGGTTCAGAACCAGAACCGGAGATGAATGAGAGTCCAACATGGACCAGAACCAAAGTCAAACTAAACCGGTTTCAGATAAAGGAACCAAAGTAAGTCCAGAACCAGGTCCAGATGTTGACTGAAACAGAACCAGGCAAGACCAAAGATGGGACAAAATAAGACCGGACCTGAAACCAGAGTCTAGAACGGTTCTGGAACCAGTACTGGTCCTTTAGACTAGAACAGTTCCAGAACTTTAAAGGAACCAGAAACTGGGCCAACTTCAGCCCAGAGAGCCGAACCATAGCAAGCAGAACCTGTCAATGATCCTGATTGGCACCTGGACCCGGTTCTGGTGGTTCCGTGAAGAGATGATCGGCCAGTGAGGTTGTTTTGGTGCCTAAACCCGGTTCAGCCAGCAGAACCCCTCGCTGATCCACTTAGTGAGCTGTAAGCTGATTGGTGCCCAGCGGGGGGCGCTGCGCTGAGCCCTGAGATTAACCAAGCAGCTCCATGATACCAGGGAACCGGATCAGGCTGCAGAACCTGGACCCAGGGAGAGGCACTGGGACCACTTCCAATGATTCTTTCAAAATAAGAGCCTGAGCCAGCAGGATAAATTAGTCTTTATTTTATAAAACAGGAAGTGGACTCATTTACACTCCAGTCAGAACTCGGTGTCCGGGTTCTGTTCACTCAGCTGGGCCCGCTCCAGCCTCAAGAGCAGACTCCGGATCTCGTTACGTTTCTGTCGCACCCGTTGCCGTGGGAACCAGCCCTCTAGTCGCAGCGGCGGGTCAAAGTCGACGACGGGGTTCTAAGGAGCCAATCAGAAGGATCGAAATGTTTTTAAAGATGCAGTTTCACAGCTTCGTGACGATGACATCACTTCCTGTGGGGCGGCCGACCTGCAGGAAGCTCTCGGCGAACTGCAGCAGGTAGACGCCGCAGTCGCTGCCGTTGTCCTGCTGAGGAACGCTGCAGGTGCAGCTCCGCATGGAGGCGGGGGCGAAGAGGCGCGGAGACTTCCTCCGAACCTCCCACTCCACCTGCAGGTAGCTGGAAGGGGTCAAAGGTCAGGGGGTCAGAGACGCCGCAGGCGAGCACAGAGGGGGAGGAACTCACCCTCTGATCAGTCGGCAGACGTCGTCGTGGCTGGAAAGCTTCAGGGAGTCCATGACCAGGATGCACGGCCTGCAGGGAGCAAAACCTGTTATCTCTGGGACAATTTGTTTAAAGTCTCCTTCAATAAGAAAAGATGAAAAATGATTTACTTTAAGATAAAATAAGATCCCAGACATATTTTATCAGCAGAGGAAGGAGAGGCTCACCTCTTGGTGACGGTTTTCTTCTGACAGCCCAGAAGGGAGCACTGCAGCCAAACACGGAGCTTCAGCAGAAGAAGAAATAGCAGCGATGCACTGCTAGCTAAGCTAACGCTAACTGCTAAATACTACATGTTAAAGATACAATGCTACAGGAAAAATACATCGCTGAAAGATGATACGGCAACTACCGGGTCTTAAAAAGCCAACACAAAAATATCAAATTAAATGTTAAATCCTAATAAAAATATATTAGAATAAAACGTCGTAATATTGTGACTTTATTCTGGAAACATTATGAATTTATTCAAATTGCCTAATTCTCATCTTGTTTTATAATCCACTGGATAATTCCTGTTCATACGACTCAGCATTTTTAAAATGAACTGGATTACAATAAATTGGACTTAAGCTGATGAGTCAGCAAATTTTAATTATTACCGGTGGCAGCTGGGACCTGGGACGCGGTTCTGCTGCAGCCGGTTCGGATCCACCTGCACAAACACCAAACATCTGGACTTGATTCCCAGAACCGGCTGGTTCCATCAGAAACTGATTACTGGGCCCAGCAGGTCCGTTTTACAGACAAACACGCAGCGAGCCACGTTCATGCCAGGGAACAAGCAGAACTTGTTCTGGTCCACATCTGGTGAACGGTACCTCGTCCTCCACCTCACAGAACCGGGCCAGCCGGGCCAACCACTCACCTGCTCCACTCTGGAACTCCTCGGTCCGAACGGCCTCCAGTCCGGGGAAACAGACCACCACCAAGAACCAGTGGGCTCTGAGAGACAGAGCCACAAACGGGTCAGAACCACTGCTGGATGGTTGAACATGGAGCAAACATGAAGCAGAAATTTGTGGAACCAGAACCAGAACCGGGTGGCAAAGGAGCCAAAAACTGGACTTAAAACTAGCATTAATGAAACATATTTTACAGCAAAAGCACTAAAATAATTATTTAATAGTTAAAAATTACAAAACAAAATATAAAAAAATTGTAAAAACTAAATTAAAATTATTTTAAAAATGAGAAAAATTTAATTTAGCACAAACTAAAATTTATTAAAAAAAAGCAGAAACTGTCCTCATTTTAACTCACGCTTTGTTAACAGGCACAAACAGGAAGTCTTTGGAGAAAATGTCCACGTCCCGCGTCCACGTCTTCACCCTCTGATGCCTCGTGTGATGGTCGCTGTGGAAGCAGCAGAAGAAGAGTCAGTGTGACATCATCTCCACTGGGCAGTGGCGCTGGGCTTACGGGACAGAGGGGGCGTCGCTCTCTCCGGCCGCTCGCCGGCAGCTCAGCTGCTTGTAGAAGAAACTACTGAAGACGTGACTCCTCTGGGCCACCGTACCGCCAACGCCCTCCAGGAGCAAGTACCTGCCGAGAGGGAGACACCTGCTGGTCACGCACAGCAACTACAACCACAGAGGGAGACCCCTGCTGGTCACACACAGCAACTACAGCCACAGAGGGAGAAGCAGACTGACTTGAGGTAGAAGTCAATGATAACGTCATTCAGGAACTCCCCGGCATCCAGACAGTCCAGGTCTTCCTGCGTCAGCGTCATCCGACCGATACATGGTACCAGAGGGTACTGGATCAGCCTGCAGACAGAACCTGGTTAACCCGGTATACCTGGACCAGAGCAGGTGACGAACCGGGACTCACCTTGTGGGCTGCTGACCAGCAGGGTTCCTCTGAGCTGCGCTGGACTGACCCGGCTTCTGTCAGGAAACAGAACCAAAAGGCCCAGACTCTGTTTACACTAGAGATGCAAACCTGCAACTAATTATTGATAAATTATTGCTTTATTAAATTAAAACCGGCTCCAATCAATTAATGTCAGCTTAGACCTTCTTTTAGTTTTGTACTAAAAAGCCTTCTTAAGCAGAGAATCTCAAGTAGAGCCAGTTGATATCGAAACAAAGATGGTGGGCCCATGCCAGAACAGGAAAGAGAAATTTTCCAAACAGAGTCAGGTTTGGGAAGAAAAATTCACTTTGAAATACAAACACTCAAAGCTTCATCCTAACAACTGCATGACGGAGCAGCAACTTCAACCAAAACAATTTATTAGCTTCAAAAACAAGGAAAACATGATGCTGAAAAACTGTAACATGACAGAAGTCTCATGATATGAAAGAACGACCATTTTCTGTTTATTCATTCTGTATTGAATACAGATGATAAAATGTCAACATTTTAAAGTCAACATGTTATGAATAAAGTAGCCCTTTATGTTATGGACAATAAATCGATCAGATCAATCAGGTCAGATGAACTCACAGCAGAGTGTCCCAGCAGGTGCAGCAGGTGCCGGTCCAGTGGAGAGGGGCAGGTGTGGAGCAGCAGCAGGCCCTGGGGCCAGTCGATGGGGGAGGAAGAGGAGCGGTGCTGCTTGTACTCCCCCATGTCCAAGATGGAGGCCAGCAGAGCGGCCTGCAGCTCCGTCAGCTGCTCCTTCAGCATCAGCAGGAGGAAGGAGCATGGCGGCGCTGCACAGAAACAACAGATCATCAACCTTCACCACAATCTGCTACTTCTGGAGCTAAACACAAAACAATTGAGTGTTTTCGCTAACTTCAATGTTGAGCAACTGTAAAACAGAAACCATGTTACTGTAGCATTTAGCATTAGCTTCCACTAAATACCATGTAGGAAGACCTATGCTCCACTAACAGCAGGTCTGAACTGGACTCACCATTAGCTCTGGCGCTGGACTTCTGGATGAGCGACAGCTCCCGCTGCAGGAGGTTGGCCTGAGCTGTTGACACCCAGAGGAAGAGCAGCGAGGGGGCGGGGCCTCTCCATCCAGCTAGCAGAGCCCCGCCCATCGCCACGCCCCCGTCCCAGACGCCGTAGCCTCGGAGCTGAGACGCCACTACCGCCACCTCGGTGTCCTCCGTTCCTAGAAGGACAAGCTAACATTTAACGTTACAGAACAGAACCACAGCAGAGACAGAACGGGAAGAAGGGCCCAAGTCCGGTACCTTTCAGTGGGAAGGTGATCCCGTTGTCAGCGATCTGCAGAAACAAAGACAAACACTTTTAGTGGCGGGTTGGGAACAGAAAGATGGATCAGTCAGATGTGATACAGACCTTCATAGGCCCACAAGCGTCAGCCTCCATCAGGCCGGAGTGGAGCGAGCAGAACTCCAGATGCAGGAAGGACGGCGGAGAAGAACCCAGCAGAACCTGGAAGAAAAACAACAGAGGAGTACAAACTCCTGCAGAATGTCTGCTGCATATTTATGATAAATACCACAAAGAGCATCAGCATGGTGTTTAGCTTATCACTATAGCATTAGCTTCTACTAAATACCATGTTGGTTTAGCGGTTTAGCATTAGCTTCTGCTAAATACCATGTTGGTTTAGCAGTATAGCATTAGCTTGTGCTAAATACCATGTTGGTCTAGCGCTACAGTATTAGCTTGTGCTAAATACCATGTTGATTTAGCAGTTTAGCATTACCTTCTGCTAAATACAATGTTGGTTTAGCGGTTTAGCATTAGCTTCTGCTAAATACCATGTTGGTCTAGCTCTACAGTATTAGCTTGTGCTAAATACCATGTTGATTTAGCAGTTTAGCATTAACTTCTGCTAAATACCATGTTGTTATGGCGTCTGACCTGCTTTTTCTCTGTATTTCCTGCTCCGTCCACCCATCTGGACGTCCTCTGTCCTTCATCGTCCTCCTCCTCTTCACTGGACAGGACGACTGAAAGCAGAGAGAGGATCAACGTTCTGCTTAGTGGACCAGGAACCTGGGTGCGGAGGAAGCGGGTCAGACTCACTGGCTTCACTGGGATTCAGTTTGCACTTCTTCTGTCTGAGAACTGAAGCTGCCAGCGTCTTCCTGTTTCTGAACGTCCTCCACCTGTGCCTCTGAGTCTCCATCACGTCCTCCAGGTCCGCATGCCGCCTCCTCCTGGCCGTTTTTGGTGACAACGCCGTCTTCATCGAGGAGGAGGAAGAGGAGCTGGACAGAGACACAAACTCGTCCTCAGACGTCTCCTCTGGTCCAACACTGGACGAATTCTTCTTCTCCTGGAACAAACAGAGTCTCTCAAGCTGGCGGAAAACCGGCTGCAAATTGGAGGACTTTCTGTCCTTTTACCTTCCCGTTGGCGACTAGTTCCACTTTCCTCTGTGGCGGAGAAGAACTCAACTTCCCAGCATCCACCTGTGCTCTCTGCTCTTCCAGGTAGTCCACAGCCTTCACAGAGATGCGTTTATGCGGCGTGGACAGAACAGAAACTTTCTTCTGTGGTGGAGACTGGAGACCCGAGGAGTCCTCCGGCTGCAGCAGAGAGTCAGACGCTCTGTTAGGGCGCCCCCTGCTGGACGAGCAGGGGAAAAACACTTTATAAACCCTACAGAACCATCAGGATAAAAGCAGCTGTGGGACACAGAAATTGTATCTTTTGTTATGAAAAATGCAAAAACAAATGTATTGTAAAGGCAAACTGAATACTCAACATCCTGATTCCTATACAGAACATATCTGGAAATCATTTTGAATGTATTCTGGGCTACGAGAACATGATTTTGTTGTTTTTATTCTCATAAATTCAAAATTGTTGAGCTCATTTCGTCTTTACTGTATGTTTATGGTGCTATATGTAGAATATGAATGCAAAAAATCAAATATTTAAAGTTTTCTTTATGATCCCGGCAGTTAATTTTTTATTAACTGGCATCAAGAATATTAACTGAAACTATTAAGAGGCAGAAATTAATAAAAACACTGTAATAACAGAAAATGCATTTAAATAACAATAAGAAAAAACAAAGACAAATTATTATAGGCAGAAAAATATAATATTTACAAATCAACCAAGTCAATAGTACCTGGACATTTTCATATTAATTTAAGAAATGCTGGAAAATATCCGATCTTACCGAACAATTAATAAATAAATTAAATTCTAAATGATGCAGTGAGGTGCCGTTATGGATCGAACCCTTCTGACAAATAAAAACAAATCGACTCCAGCAATGTCTGCACAGATATGATAAGCTGCTATCTCACCAGTCAGAAAAGCTCTGCTGCCATTGGCTGCTCCAGCTTCCTGCCGACCCGTGATTGGCTGATGAAGCTCTGCCCCTGAAAGAGCTGTCCAGACCGAGGAGAGTTTGGACGTAGCTCCTGAATGGTTGCCGCGTCGCCCTGAAAAGACAACATCGTTTCTCCCTGCATCCAGATGTAGCGGTCATCCTGGCCTGAAGGGGGCGCTACACCAACCTTATTCCAGATGATTTCCCATCATGCATTCTGTCAGATCCACCTCTTTTGGTCGGGCTCCCCAAATCCCACTTGGACCAGAGAATACAGATAAACAATGATGTATTAAGGTCATCTTGGATAGAAAAAAAAAATAACTGCCAAAAAACTCAAATATTGAGATTAATCCCTGAAATTTTCTAGAAAAAAAGAAAATTTTGAATTTCAAAAATTTGCCTTTTGAAACTCTAAAATTTCTGCATGTTTTTCCAACAAATTTTTGACTTTTGAAACCGAAATGAATTTTTTTGAGATCTCAAATTTTCTCAAAAAATACTGTTTCAAAAGTAAAAAAATTGCTGGAAAAAAAGATACATTTTGAGATATAGTTTGAATCTATGAAATTCTATTTTATAAAGGAACATTTCTAGCAGATGTTTTACTTTTGAAACTCAGAAATGTACAGTTTTTCTATTTCTGAGGCTAATCTCAAAATTGTCAATTTCATTTATAAAGCACTTTAATACATGTTAACTGCATCAAAGTGCTCTACACAGTATATAATGTATCAATATTTAACATAAGAATAAAACACAAATTAAAGCACTTTTTGGGGAAATTAACCCATCTTACCTCCTTAACCTGGGGGGCGGAGCCATGGAGACGTGACAGGGGCGACAGCAGGTGGATGTGGGCGGAGTCTGAACCCTCAGGTTGTTTCTTCTTGGGGATTTTATAGGGAAACGCCATCCTGTCAAATAAAAAACAAACCACTCCAGACTCCATTGAAAAAACAACCAATTCCACAGCAGCAACCCGGTTCAGCCACTATCTGCATCGCACTGAAAACGATGAAAACACTGCACCAAACTCCATTGAAAAAGATACACATTTTACCAGTTTTCACAGAGTACGTTTCAAGATCAAATTGACATAATAAAACTAATTGAAAATCAAACAAATGCGTTCAATTAAACTTTCAGCTTGTTCTAAATTGATAACAATGATGAACTGCTACTTTTAAAGCACTTCAAACCACACTGAACCTGAACGGAAAGTGCAAATAACGGGGAAAAGTGTTAATTTCAGCTACACTAGGAAACTGAAGCAGGTTATTTTACAGCCGAATTTCTCTGAAGACCTTCTCGATTAATAAAAAAATATTCACTCAATCGCTTCCTTCATATTCATCCGACTTTAAACAGTTTTAATTCATACTCACAAACCTGTGTAAGCCAACTAACTAGCTGGCTAGCTAATGTTAGCCAGCTAGCCGGGGAGCTCAGCTATCTCTCCGCGGCTTGGTTTCGCTGAAGCGTCCCTGGAGTCTCCAGTGGACTCATGGGAAACAGCAGAACTTTATTCTGGTCCAGAAGAACCGTAGAAGTACTTAGAAACCCGCATTATATTTCCAAACAGATCCAGGTTCATCAAGCTAATGAAAACAGAGACCGTGTTCTTCTTCTTCCAGGTTACTGGGGGATTCATCACCAACGATCTGTGCGCGCTGCCACCTGCTGTCCAACAAGAGCAACAGCAGCCTGTTTAAGTTTGCTCTTTTCTGATAATACTGACTTTTTATTCAACCTGATCTGCCTCCTTTGGTATTTTATCATGTCATATTTATTCTGTATGTTGACTAATAGGTATTTTCTTGACATACATAAAAAGAACCACAGACAAAATCAATCGATCAAGTCTTTTGGAAAAGTAAGAGATAGAAAACTGTTCCTTCAAACAGTTTATCATGTGTTCTGGCTCTGATGCATAAGGCTTGTCTTTTATTAACACAAAGCAGGAGTGAGCGAGAAAGAAAAAGGGGTGCTAAGTAAAAGAAGGGGGCTATTCTGATAACAGGAATAGGAGAAAACAGAAACTACATCCTAAACACAGGAAGTTTCACAAGTGAGGAGTTTTCTGGTAAAAAAGAAAACAGCTGCAGAAAACATGTCCAAGGTTTAGAGAAAGTTTTGTCTGGCAAAGGTTTAAGAAATTAGAACACTACCCTTAAATGAAAATCAAACCAGTAAAACTACTAATATAACTACTAATGTAAGACTGATAACAAAACATACATTTATTAAAACGTCTCAGTCAGGATAGTTGGTTTGCATGTCTGTTAACCTGAGTGTGTGGCGTTTGTTACCATCTAATTAACTTCTATACCTTACTTTTTCATAAAGGGAAACTCCTTTATTTAGACCATCAGTATGTTAACACAACATAAATTTCTCTTTAGTTTTCTTTGTTCTGTATGAACAATCTGTGAAAAAAATCAATTTCCTCCCTGAGCTGTTATTGCTGTCTGACAACCAATCAGAGCCAGGAGGCGGCGCCTAGTGCTGTCAGTCATCCTCAAGTACATGCTGCAAAATGTGCTAAAAGCAGAGAAATTACTTATATTTACAGGAAAACTGTCATCCGTGACTATGCTACATAGACTGAGGACCTGCTAATTGCAGCCAGGTGGTGATTGGCAGTGCTAAGCCCCGCCTCTTGACTATGATTGGTTGTTTGTAATCAACGATGAAATAAAGGCAGAGAAACTCATTTTTTCACATATTTTCTGTCTCATGATTAACTGGTAGTTTAAACAAATGTGTATAAATGTGTATTTTTTTAAAGTTACAAGCTTTAACTTCCTGGTTTGCAGTAAACATTGAGTTGGGGCGTGGCCTGCTGCAGCTCATTTGGATTTAAAGTGACAGATCCCTGAAACATCTCATTCTGGAACTCAGACTAAAATACGTTTATCTATCTTTGATTAAAAAAATACGACAAACAGCTTTTGTTTCACCCACAGACCGATCCCAACCTGTTGAAGGACGGATCGCCTGTAAAATGCCTGCTGGTGAATTTTTCTGGATGGAAATGCAGTCATGAAAGCTGCAGATACGTGTTCAATCATGTTAGTTTTTGGCTCCTGTCAGCTGCAGTTATGAAATTATTAAGGTGTTGCCATTGAAAGTGTTTGGTTTGGTTTTAACCCCTTGTGCTCTTGGTTTTCTGCTGGAGACGTTCATCAGAGTTTTTCCCTCAGGGAACTTCTGTCTGTTTGTTGATGGCAGTTTGTCCAGGCTTGTACTCTCTGGACAGAATCCAAACCAATAAACATCCTTGCAGCGTTTGGGTTCAGGAACATGTTCCTGAAGTGATCTGGTTTCTCAGCAGATGTTATCAACATCGAGTGGCTTCAGGCTGCAGAACCACAGCTGCATCGCTTCGGTTCTGCAGGTTCTGAGAGGAAAACCGACTCCTGGTTCAGGTGAGCGAACCTCCAGTTTCATCTAAAAATGTTCAGAATGTTTCATACTAAAGTTTAGAAGTTCAACAAACAGCAGATAATTTGATATAATCTCTAAAATAATCTGAAACGAGAAGATTTGAATGTTTTCTCCTTAACTTGTTCAAAAAAACAAAACATAAATTATCTTTATTCACCGATAGATTAGTTTATGAATTGCTGAAGACGTTTTATCAGTTTTATGTTATTTCTTCAAGTGTTGTTTTATTAAAAGCTTTTTTGCAATTTAGACAATATGTCAATAGTATTTTATTTGCATTTCTTCATATTTTCGAGCAATATAAACCTTTTCCTGTGTTTTTTTTTTATGCTTGTGCAATTTTATTTCTAACATATGCAACATTAGCCTTACACTGAAGTGACTTAGACCTCTAAACTCTTTTCATTTCAAATCTAAATATTTGGGTTAATTTAAATTTTGTCAGTGAACCTTGATGAATTTCACATTTTAACATTTTACAGCCTCGGTTTGTGATTTTGTGTTACTGTAAAACTTTTTAGATGATTATATTTGTGACTTCAGCAGAGATCCAGCTGAGCTGGATATTTCATCTGACACTTTGTAAAGTTCCTCAGAATCAGATCAACACTGAATGTTTGAGATAAAAACTGAAGATGGAGAAAAATGGAGCAAATTTAGAAAAGAATAAAAAATCACTAACAGTTTAGTAAAAAATACTTTATTACAGATTAAATGTTATAGTTTGGGGTTTTTCATTACACTTTTATTTTGTAACATTTTTGAGTTCAAGAAGTCCTAAATTTGGGAGAAAACTCTCAGATATTTTGAGATTAATCTCAGAAAAGTTTTGTAAAAAACAGGAAATTGCAAATACTTGATGAAAAATGTTTTTAGATTACTCTCTGACTTTGAAAAACAAAACAATAAAACTTCTGAGCTTCATAAATCAGAAATCTTTGACTTTTGACACTCAGAAAATTCCCAAAAGTCACAACTTTGTTTTTTTCTGGAAAATAATGTGAAATTAATCTAAAAATGTCTTAATTTCTTTCTCAATTGTTTTATCAAGATCAAACTTTTTCCCTAGAGTTTAATCTCAGCATCTCAGTTTTTCTGAGAAAAATTCCAACTTTATCTGTAACTGATGTTGTGCAGAAACCTCTGCTGTTATCTGTGTCAGTGTTGGAGATCCGGGTCGGTTCTGGTATCAGTATCAGGCCAAGCAGTTTGTTTGAGGTGCACATGAGCGTGACAGTGCTGCAGCGTGTTTCCACCTGCTGTTCCTGGAAGTTGTCTCAGGTTTCAGGCTCCATGTCAAGTTATTAATATCAAAGTAAACAACATTCCATCATTTATTAGTTACTTTGTGGATTAAACAAAAAAACTTCAGTCTCTAATAATCATGATTTCTGTTTTCATTTAGTTTCCTACCAGAAAAATTATTTCCCATAAAAAGAAAATAAAAATAAAATGATGCACTTTATTCACCAAAAGTGACATTTAAATGGTTAAAAAGTAACTAAATTAACAGATTATGATAAAACACATTAAGAAAATGAAATAATAAGAGGAAGAATTGCATAAAATTCCGACATTTTCCTGTTTGCAGAAGCAAAAAATGAAAACAGAGACGTCTTTGTGTCGAATCAGGAAACTGACAAGTCGAGACAAAGAAGACACTTTAATGAATAAATTTTTCTCATCGAAATTTTTTGTAAACTGGTGACTCATTGTTCCTGAGCAGCTCTTGTTCCTCAGAAATGTAGGCGGGGCTTATGCTTTATGTTTTAATGTTAATTTGACTTTTCTGCAGCTGAACTGGAGAGTGAAAGGGAATGTGAGCGCGTCTCATCTTGCAGCACCAATTAACCTGCAGGATGACTCACTGATTCAGATTAAATAAGCAGAAAGTTTCTGACTCACCTAGAGGTGGCGCTGTGCCTTCATCTGAACCCAAAGGCCTCAGGGTTTGGATGTTTCAGAAACTCAGAAAGGAGAAATAAAACCATCCCACAATGCACCTGGAGCGTTGTTGTTTCTGACTGCTGTGTTTGTGGATGTTAGTGCTCTCTGTGTTTTGCTTGTTATTTTATTTTCAGTAATTACATATGAACAGCTTTACTGTTTGGTTTTGATTGTTTTGGCTCCATTTTCACCACTTTGACCTCTCATGACCCCTGCAGAGCTGACAGGAGTATGAATAATTATGGACTTAACTGAAAACCTGCGTGTGTTTTACGTCAGTGCCCCCTACAGGTCAGGTGTGGGAAGAGCAGAGTCATCTGTTTCTGACAGAACGCTGGACCGTAAAACTTCACCAACTGGAATTACAAAATACATTTGATTAGTAGAAACAAACATTTTGATAAATAAAAAAAACATTATCCAATACAAGGTCTTTTTCAGCTGTATCCAAATCAACGCATTTGGCAAAACTGAAGTGGAAACATTTTTTTTTCACATCATAAGTCACATAATCAGCAGCCGGTTGTTACTACTGGCAGAAAAAATGAAGAAGAAGATGGCAGGAAGTGGTGTCATGTTTTTATTAAGTGAACAAACTTATTCACAAGGGATTTTATTTGTGTTTCTTATTATTGGAAAGATTGCAAAATAGTGTTTTTTCAGCATTTGCAGAATATGGCAAAAGTTTCACACATTTCTGATGTTCATGCTGCCTCCTATGAAGGACATGTTGAGGAACATCTGTCCTGTTTCTCTTTCATGCTTTCTGAGCTCAATGGAGAAATTTCACAATGTTCAGCTGCATCATGACCGGGTGTGTCACGTCACTCCTGCTTCATGGATTTTATTTATCGATCGATTGATTCTGATCACGTGTCTATTCTGTTAAACAGTCCAGCTGAATCAGTTCAGTGAACAGAAAACGGGGCTTCGTGGCTCCCTCTAGTGGAGTGATGGCAGCAGGACGATCTGATTGAGAAGATGCTGATGATGAGTTTTCCTCTGCAGGTGGAGATCGAGAGCTGAGCTGATGTGAATCCACCATGGATCAGTGTAAAGACAAAGAGACGAAGAGATTTCTGCTGTTTAAAGACAAAAAGATGAAGACCAAACCTCTCAGGTGAGGAGAACCACATCACCACAGAACCTCCCATCAGCGCTCTCGGTTCGGTTCTGACTCCTTCTGTTGGGTTACAGTATCAAAAAGCCTTCAATAAAGCTGTCAGCTGATCCGGTTCTGGAGTCCTCCAACCA